ACACACACACACACACACAGCATGAAGAACTGACATAGTAATAGTAAAAACAACCCTGTTGACTGATGTCACTGCAGTGTCCACTTACGTCCGTCTGAGCCTGAGCCACTGTCACTGTGGGCCACAGACTCACAGCGATGCCCTGCCCAGCCTGGTGAACATCTGCAAGAAAGGAAATAGAGAAATTTGTGTGAGTGGTTACACTCAGAGTGAAATCAAACACAGATGAACACAGTCTGCTCCTGACCTGCACTCTGGAAGGCGAGTGATGAGGTTTATAGAGCACTGGCCATTCGCACAGTACTCATTAGTATCACATGTGTAGCAGCTGGGCTGGACTCTGCCGTTTGTGCAGCTATTGAAGATGAAAAAAAAATGTGAGCAACAATGAGAAAGACAAGAAAACTTTACATGTGTAGGTCTCATTGTTTGTGTCTGTCGAGTTTTCTTACCGGCAGGCAAACTCCCCTGTTGAAGCAAAACTGTTGCTGGGGATGCACTCGCCGTCACGACAATAGTGACACTTGTCGATTTCACATGTGCTGCCGCTGTACTGGGGCAGACAGCGGCAGAGCTTGGCGCCATTTTCACTTAGTAGACATGTACCTTTGTTCAGGCAGTGGCCTTCACAGCTTCCTGTTCACACACAGACACACACATATAAATATGGAAGTGCTTCCCAACCAGCTTAAAATCTTTAAGCTGTAAGCGTGATCCAATTTTATAATTTTACTAAACAAAACAATACACTTATACTTGTACACAATCAATGAAGCAGTCATTTCTAACTTGACACATAAACAATAATATTTTGAAGTCAACTAAAGCTTTAAGTTGCAACACATGAATATAATTAAGATTAAGGTTGGATTATGATTTTCGTGTGGTATCGCTGAATGGTCAGAGGAAGTATGTAAACATTAAACTCCTCTACAGTCTGGGAACACTCACTGTACTGGCACTGGTCGCCCAAGAAGTCATCAGGACAGCGGCAGGTTGGCTGGTTTCCGGCACTGACGGTGCAGTTGCCTCCATTCTTACAATAATCCTTACATGTGTGCAGGTTACAGTTTGGCCCAGTGAAGCCTGTCGGGCATCGACAAGTAGGAGAACCTGTGGAAGGATGGAAATATAGAGAGAAGGGAAGCAGAGAGAGAACAGAAACAAATTCAGTGAGTTTTGACTCAGACTCACATTGCTTTATTTAGTGACAATGTTATTGTTTACTGCTCCAGTGGAAAAAAACTGCCATAACCAGCTTGCAATGTCCAAATCGTACCTGTAGGGGAAGGTGCGCATGTGCCTCCATTCTTGCAGTAGTCTCTACACTGGTCGATCTCACATTGTTCGCCTCCGTAATTAGGCTGACAGCGACACTTCGGTTGCTTGTGGGCGTTCAGGAAACAGCTGCCACCGTTCATACACTGGACCAAGCAGGGACCACTAGGAGGAGCTGTGGAGTAAGTGGAGAGTTTTTCAGTCATGATTTAAATCTCAGTGTGTGTGTGTTGTTGTATGTGTGAATGTGTTCACTCACAGATAGGAGACAGTGTGGGAGTGGGCAGCTCCACGCATGTGCCATTGTCCAGCGTGCGTCCGTTGGGACAGGTGCAGACGGGTCCACTGGGGCTCAGCAGACACAGCCACTCACATTTCTTCCTGTCGCAGGGGTTTGTAACTGACAAGGACACAGAGAATCACTATTAGAAATCAATAACTAAGCCCCTGCTACAGGTATACCTTTCTCACTGTGTTTGCTTTAGTGTGCGTTGATGTTCAGGGTTTTGTGTTTTGTCTTTTTACTCACTCTCAGGTTGTTTGTAGCGGTGGTACAAAACTATATCTGTAGCATGGTTCATTCCAGTTGTCAGGTTCTCAATGGGACCTTTGCCGAATTTATTCACTCTGAAGACGTAGTTGTTTATGTACGTGACGCCATAGACGTAGTCTTCAAACACATCGATGCTGAAGGGATGACGGAGTTCTGTGTAGGAGACATATAACATTATGTCAGAGTCCCGACTGAGAAAGATTATAATGGATTAATGCACAAACTGTGTGAGCATGTGTCACTCAACTGTTCTTAATGCTGTTTGCAGCCACAACTGCGTCGCTGCCGTTAAACCTCACGCTGCAGATCTGGGAGAGTTTGGCGTCGGCCCAGTACAGACGCTCATTAAAGTAGTCCACTGCCAGACCTGTACAAACAATACAATGTATTAGTATGGATTTAAAAAGAAAATCACACTTCCTACTCCAGTAAGTAACACATGATTTGGGTGAGGAGATATAATATATAACGTTTCCCACAGAATTCATAAAATCCGTGGTGGTAGTCCGCTCTCATGCACAACAGATTCTGAGAAAAGGTACAGAGACTAAAGAAGAGTAAAAGTTCTTGCGCAAGAGAGGGAACTACATTGCATGACAGGTGCTCTGCAGATGAAACTATGAGGTCTGACAACTTTATGGAAGATAACAATATCACAAGCGAGGACGCTGCAAATCTCACTGCACACAGCGACACAATGTAGCAATGGGGCATAACACCAAGAATCGTATATGTTATCATGAGAAGTGCAAAACAATGTTGGTTCATGAATATATACGCGCCAGTCTAGATAATTAATGGGAAGAAACACTGATGTATGAGTGTGTGTGTTTTACCAGTCGGCCACTGGATGTTTTCCTCCACCAGCGTCTCTCTCATGGTTCCGTCCATAGCAGCTGTTTCAATCTTCGGGTGGTTCCCCCAGTCTGCCCAGTACATTTTCCTATTGGACAAAATGTAAGTGCTCCATTCATCACTGTTGCCATCACAATCAAACCTGCATTAGCATTCTTGTGGTTTCTTTTTCTCTCATTGAACTGCAGCCCAACTCACCCTCTCTGGGGGTCGACCACAATGGCATATGGCTCATCGATCATCCCAGAGATGAGGGTTTTGCGGTGGTGTCCTCCACTTATCTGGGCAACTTCAATAACATCTCTTCCAGAGTCAGTCCAGTACAAGTTCCCTGCCACCCAGTCCACGGCAATGCCACGTGGCATCTTGAGATCAGGGATCTACACACAGAGACGTAGAGGCTGATATGAGAATCTCGAAAATTGGTCTCACTTTACCCAACTTGTTTATATTTGACATCATATGCATACAACAGCAAACATACTGTAGGCACTTACCTCCAGGTGGGTGATCCTGGAGTCAGTTTGCCGTCTGTTACGGTTGTTATTAGGGGAGGAGGAGTAAGAAGGCAAATCATAAGAAGAAATACGCCCTGTGTGCCAGTTTGTCCAGTAAATGCGGTTCGTCTTGATGTGCAGGTCCATGGCATCGATGCGCACATTGGCATCGCCCTGGAAGATCTGCTCGTAGCGCCAGTTTGGCATTGAAGGGTCCAGGCTGCGGATCTCATTGTCATCAGCGATGTAGAGCACTTGTCTTGGAGCTGGGGATGCACAGTAATTCATGTCAGGCATGCAGATCGTTGAAGTAGAGCACAGATGTGAAAAATAAAGGCAGGAAAAAAACATTCAGTGCACCGATGTGCATCGTTAAATGAGCTTGGAGAGCTAACAAGTGTTACGTAGGAGTACTAACCATCAGCCTTGCAGGTGTCATTGATTCTGATGAAGTACTTTTGGCAGCTGCACTTGTAAGAACCCTTCGTGTTGTTGCAGATGTGGGAACACACTCCGAACTGCTTGCACTCGTTCTTATCTGCGCAACAACCCAAGGGCACACGATACACATTACACAAAACTGACACCAAAACATAATTATGCAAAAGAATGAAGCTGGGGTGGAAAAAACTGTACCTTCACATCTGTTCCGTCCTTTGGGCAGGAAGCCAGGTTTGCAGGAGCAGAAAGAGTCGGTGCCGTTCACCACACAGTGAGCTTCATCTCCGTCTCCGCACACTGTTCTGTTACTGCGACAGTCATTCAGCACCGTGCCTGGAGGGGAGGAAACAGGGAGCGTGCACTCAAACTGATTATCCCGCAGACTGAACACTCTCATTAGGACAAATATGATTTGACACACACAAAGCACCTTTCTTGTTGCAGTTGACTTCATCAGAACCGTAGTCCTCGCAGTCGTTGAAGTAGTTGCAGCGCAGGACGGAGCTGATGCATTGTCCATTGGAGCACTGGAACTCATCCTTCTGACACGTTGGTGTCGAGGGAGGCACTGGAGGAGTCACAGAACTAGTTATCACCCTGATTATTATGTGCAAAAATCATCTCAAATGCTATTTTAAAAATGTTGCTACGTTTCTCTATAAACCTTTTTAATTAATTTAACTTTATACAAGAATAACAAAACTCACAGCAGTTAAGTTCATCACTGTCGTCCCCACAGTTGTTGACTCCATCACAGCGTTTTGATATCGGCAGACAGACCCGGTCGTTGTGACAGCGAAACTGCCTTGTGGGTGGACACTGGAATTTAACTAAAGAGAGAAATATGATATAATATAATAAGTGAAGAGAAGAGTCTTGAGTGTGAAATAGTTTTCAGGAATCCACGTGTGAAATCGTAGTTATTCTCACCACACTCCTCTGGGTTCTCATCAGAGTTGTCTCCACAGTCATCCTCGCCATCGCACTTCCAGCCCAGAGGCTTACAAAGGGTGTTGTTGCACTGGAACTCATCCAGGGGGCAGTATCTACCCACTAAATAACGAAGGTGAGAGAGAAGAGGAGATGGGAATGACTGATACATCACATCAGCGTCCATATTTTCTACATTATGTTCCACTAAACACCCAGGAGAAAATAAGTGTGTGTTTATTACCGCCACTGTCACATTTCTCCTCGTCGCTGCCGTCCATGCAGTCAGCATCAGCGTCACAGCGCCAACGGATGGGGATGCAATGGCCGTTTTTGCACTGGAACTGATCACTGTCACACTTCACATCACAGCCATTCTGAAAACAGAGAAGCATTTTCATTCCCATTTTCATGAAAAGACGATTTCTACGATGTGGAATTTTAAAGCAGAAACATAATCAGGAAGGAAACACTTGTCTTTACCTCATCTGAGCCATCAGCACAATCGTGGTCCCCGTCGCACTTCCAGCGCCCGGCAATGCAGCGGCCATTTGTGCAGGCAAACTCACTCTCCGAACATTGACGAGGCACTGAGGGCAGAGAGAAGACAGCTTAGAAGGGCGAGAGGAGATAATTAGGGAAGGGAGTAGGGCAAGGAGCAAGGAGAGGAAAAGAGAAGAGAAAAAGTGGGAATATAGCTGGCTACTAAAAAAACAGGGTTGTTTGTAGCTCGGCACATATGAATAAAATAAATCTGGTTATTCAAATCACAAGGTTGACTCATGGGGAACAGAGGTGGGGACTGTACAACGTTGGTGGCAGTGGTGGGAGGAGAGAAGAAAAGACAAGCCGGGAGCACACAGAGGACTGGGTGAAACCGTGAAAACACCTACCTCTGGCTCACAGCAACAGGCCAGTGTGAAATGCAAAATAGACATGACATGATGTGAGATGTGCAAATGGCCACAGCACTGATCAACCGAAAAGAAAAGAAAGTCTCAACCATGCCTCTAGCTGGTTCATGGCATGAACATACAGACAGTGACAGGCGATATTTACCATCTGAAGTCTGCTTTACACAGGAGCTCATCATAATCTTTGTTTTCACACAGACAGTGAGTGGAAGTCGTGACACGTGCGAGCGAGCGTTCCCTCTGCAACCATTACAAATTAACCTACCACACTTGTCTTCATCCGAGTTGTCACCACAGTCGTTGTCGTAGTCACACTGCCAGCGGCCAGGCACGCAGCGGTTGTTCTTGCAGCGGAACTGGTATGGCTCGCACGTCCGTTCATCTGTGCACCAAACACACATGAACTAGTATTATCCCCCTGCGTTTATATGCCTCAGCCAACCGATGCAGTCTATACATACATTTTTTTCCAAACTCATTTTCAGTACTCCTGACCATTGACTACTAAAATCTAATCAGGTCATCTTTGAGTCCAAGTGACAACTGAGTGTAAAGACAGAATAAATTTGCTAAAGACAGACTTATGACATGTAAGAAGCCAAAAACATGTTTGGCGAGGCCACTGTGACTTTACACCACTCAAATCTAATCAACAGAGTCTAAATGATGATTTGTGTCAAATTTGAAAAGTTTCACAAAGCAAAAAGAGGATTTGTGAGGTCACCGGGACATCGCCTTTTGACCACCAAAATCTTATCAGGTCATCTTTGAATACAAATGAACTTTTGTAGTAAACTTTAAGAAATTCTATCAAGGCAAGTTTTACTTTCACAAGTCAAAATAAGGTGTTTTGTACGGTCACAGTGACCTTTATCTTTGACAAACAAATTCATTAATCAGTTAGTGAGTCCAGGTAAGAAATTCCCTCAAGGCTTGAGATATTGTCATTACAGAATGGGACAGACGAACAACCTGAGAACATAATGCCTCCGGCCATTCTCTGTTGATGGCGTGGAGGCAGAAAATTACAAACGTGTTTGTAGCTCTTTTTTACACTAGATATGATGATGGTCTCTTTTTCTTTCTCCCTCTACCTCTCTCCTTACCACACTCTTCCTTGGGTTCATCAGAAGCATCTCCGCAGTCATCCTCTCCGTCACACTTCCAACGCGCCGGGATGCAGCGTCCCGAGTCCTTACAGCGGAACTCATCCACGCCACACGTCATTTGAGCTGCGACAGAGTGGAGTTAATTGATTAGACATGTTAAAAGTAGATCAGACTATGGTGGCTGAAGCTCAGGAGATAAGGTGGGCCGTCCACGAACAAGAAGGTTGACTCGATCCCTAGCTCCATCAGTCTGCATGCTGAATTGTCTTTGGGCAAAACATTGAGCCCTAAATTTTCGGACATAGGACAAGATGGAGAATAGAATACAAGATTACAATCTTAGATAACAAATAGATAATAGTGTTATCAAGAATGCTGTTCAGCTCAGCCTCATAAAAATGATGATAAAGTGGATGTTGATTCTGTTTTCTTATTAAATTACAAACCCCAGTGCAACATTTTCTACATTTAGATTTTATCTGATGTTCACAGCTTCCCATCCATATAATTCATCGGCTTCCATTAGAAGACAGCGATCACGCGGTTCTGCAGAGCTACTTGTTAAGCAGAGGTGTTGTTCGGTTCAGTAATATCAAATTGTGTCTTACTGCAGTTGGCCGGCTCATCAGATCCATCCACACAGTCATTGTCCCTGTCACACACCCACACACGTGGGATACAGCGTTTGGTGATGGCGCACTGGAACTGGTTGGGGGCGCATGTAACTTCAGCTGCACAAGAGATTGACAGATTAGATCACTTACTCAAAAACACTCAATGAGATTTTTTAATACAATAAAACAAGTGGAAAATTTGGTCTAGAAATGAGAGAGGAAAGGTCTTGGCCAAAAATATGGCGGGGTACCAAACCCGGATTAGACATCCTGGGAGCCATGCAAAGCTCAACTGACCCCAGCAGAGGGTGCACAGCCTGGGCCACAGCACCACCAAGCCCGGGTCAGACACCCAGGGAGCCATGCACAGCTCCACTAACAGTGTTCATTTTGGATCTTTTCATAAATGTTTGGACCATAAAAATGTTTTTCATCTTCAGTTTTGGTGGCTCTGTCAATAATTTACTGCTCCTGTGTCTCTATCATTTGCAGGAAAAAAACCTGGTCATTGCTGTCAACATTATTTCCATGCTATGCTCAGCAAATGGTGGCCTCCTAAGTTAATATTTATTTTCTTGTCTTACACATTTTTAATAACAAATATGCCACTGAGTAATGTGCCCTGGCCCATAACAGGCTATGAGCTGGTTGTTGTAACTGTAGAGAAAAAGATCATAATCCTTAGACTCTGCCACGACCAGGGCAACATGAGAGGAAGACTTACGACAGTCTTTCTCATCCTCTCCCTCTCCACAGTTGTCCTGTCCATTGCAGCGGAAGATGCCAGGGATGCAGCGACTGGGGTGGGTGCATTTAAACTGGCTGGGCAGGCACACATGGATATCTAGAAGCACAAAAATAATAAATAGCAAAGAATATAGGTTATCACAGGTACAAATAAGAAAAAGACTTCAAATCTGTAGCTGATGTAGGCATTGTGTACCGCAGTTGGCCTCATCTGAGTTGTCTTGGCAGTCATTGTCTCCATCACAGATATAAGCTGGGTTGGTGCAGATGCCGGTGCCACACTGGAACTGGCCTGGTCTGCATTTAAACTCAGCTGCAGTGTGGAACAAAAGCTGCAGATTATTCATCAGAGCAAACAAAACATTGCACTATGACACTGAATTTATAGGAAATGACTATCTCACTCACGGCAGTCTGCAGGCTCATCTGAGCGGTCACCACAGTCATCTTCAGTGTCACACTTCCACCAAAATGGAATGCACTTGTCATTTTTGCAAACAAACTGAGGGGACAGAGGAGAGAGTGATTTAGTTTTTCACATTTTCAACATGTTAAATGTGAAAAATCATAACCTCCAGAGAGCTCACCTGACTTGCAGTGCAGTTGGACAAGCACTGTTTGCCATCAGCTGCCAGGTAGAAGTTAGTGGGGCAAGCACACTTGAAGCCCCCTCCAGGTGAGAGCAAACACAGGTTACTGCAGCCTCCGTTGTTGAATTGGCACGGGTGGCCAGCCACTGAGGAGCAAAGGACGTGCACACAAGTAGAATTAAAAGCTGATCACATGACATGAGTAAAGATTTACTTGGGGTTATGAGTGTCGGAAGAATTGGTTTTACCTTCAGGCTGGCGGTATGGGTGGAAAATGTGAACGTCCATAGGCCTGTGTAAGGTGCTGATCAGCATAGTCTTGTTGATTCCCAGGGTCTTATGAGCTCGGTTGATGGACTTAGTCTCCCAGTCCGTCCAGTAGATGAACTCCTCAAACAGGGTCATAGCAAAGATGTGGGGAATATCCTGAGTCAAAACTGCAGAGGCACAAAGACAAATGAGCTGCTATTAATGACTGACTAGAGTAATTACTCTATGTGTCTATGTACAGTGTGTGCGTGTGTGTGCGCCTGTGTGTGTTACCTGTGTGTCTGTTGGTTCCATCCAGGCTGGCAAATGCTATGTAGTCCTCCCGAGCATCAGCCCAGTAGATGCGGTCGTTAATAAAGTCCAGCGTGAGACCATTGGGCCACGTGATCTTATCCTCCACGATCACAGTCCTGTTGGTGCCATCCATCCCAATCCTCCCTATGTGAGGGCTGTCACCCCAGTCTGACCAGTATAAATACCTGTCAGGGATGTGAGGTGTTGTTTAAATTTACTGGTAAATCAAGAATTCACTGGATGATTATGATGCTTTTCAACTATTTTGTTTGTAAAAGAATGAAAAGCAAAAAAAAAACCAAATCAGGGTGGCTGATGAGGAAATAGCTAGTTAAACTTTCGAACTTTTCCAAATCTTCAAAAGTTGTATGACTCTTACCCATAGCGTACGTCCACTGCCACAGCACGTGGCTCCCTCAGGCCACTGTTGACCAGAACTGTCCGGTACGCTCCATTCAGCTTTGACACCTCAATTGTGTCTCGTCCCTTATCACACCAGTACAGGTTTCCTCCCACCCAGTCCACTGCCAGACCGTCTGGGTTGCTGAGCGATGTGCGATGAAGGACCTAACAAATGAGCAAGCAGTATTCCTGATCTGAGCCCAACAATGAAGAATTTAACATTTTTTCCAGAGTTTTTCTGAGGATTAATTAATCTCTTTGAATGTTGGTTTTATATTCAGACGAAAAAGACACTGCTCCCTTATCTTCCAAAGACAAGATGCTGCTACACCAACCTGAACGTCGCTGCCGTTGATGTGCATGCGTCGGATCATGCTGCCCTGGGTGGTCACATCTGTCCAATAAACCATCTGTTGCCGGTAGTCGAAGTCCAGAGCCACAGCATTGTTCAAGCCCTTTCAAAGCACAGGAGCTAAATTAGTCTGGGCCAGCAATAAACCCCTGCAGGAGAGTTTGCAAGATTATGCAGGCACTGTATCTGTGTGTCTCACCTGTTTGATCAGTGTGTAGTTGGATCCATTCAAGTTGAGCTTCCTCAGGTAATAGCGGTTGGCAAAGATCAGGAACGGCTCCTCATCTGCAGGGAGGCAGACATCATGTGTGAGTGGATTTGGCTTAAACACTTGAATGTTATTAATCTGTCAAGTTTCTTACCAGAGGTGGATTTGCATATGGTGGGGTTTGCAGGACTAAGCTGGAAACCCTCCACACACAGACAGTGGAAGCTGCCGTGTGTGTTGATGCATCGCTGCGTGCAGGGATAGGTGGTCGTGCACTCATCTATGTCGACACACGTCTTCCCGTCATCTTTCAGACGGAAGCCTGGGTGGCATCTACACTGTGAGGAGGCAGAGCACAAAGAAGGTAAAGCAACAATACATGGTGTTTATATTCCACGTTCGTGACAGGTGAACTCAAGTCAGAATTTCTCAGCGTTCACTTACCTTGAAGCCTATTTTCAGGTCCTCACAGAGCTGAGAGCAGCCGCTCAGTTTGCTGTTCAGGCACTCGTTAATGAAGCAGTTCAGCTCATCAGAGCCATCACCACAGTCGTCCTTATGGTCACAGAGCAACGTCTCATTCACACAGTTTCCATTGTTGCAGGCGTAAGCAGTGTCGTTGCATTTTTTCTCTGTTTAATGAGGGAAACAAATGATGAGAGACAGTCAACCAGTGCAGCGTTTCAGCCTTGTTCAGAGCAGGAGTCCAAATCTGTTTTTCACCATAATCAAAATGTATCTACACTGATCTTTAGAAAGTTTGGGCAAAAGAAAAAACACATGACACGTGATTTTCAAAAGGTGGAACCAAACCACGTATGTAGGGGGATTGAAATGTAATTACGATCACAGCTCTACAGATGTGTGTCACTCAGGTCTCTCTTTCTTCTCAAACCAGATTTCAAAGTGACACAAAACGTCATCAAATCCAGAGTGATGAAAGCTACACACTTAACTGATGCCTACATCAATAACACAGCACTGCATGCAGATAGTAAGGTGGTGTCTGCATCCACAGCTCTCCAGTTGACAAAAAGATAACAAATGTAATATTCTCTTAAAAGTGCATTAACACATCTATAATACAGGATGTCACTTCTACGTGTTTCTCTCTTATTAGCTGAATCTTTATTTAAACATTATCACGCTCAAAGGCTGCAGATGAAAATGGGACATCTGGCAGCATCTGTCAGTATCAATTGATCTACTGAAGTAACAAGATCTTCTTTTTTAGTAAAAAATGTTAAAGTGCTTCCAGAGCAGTGCTGTGAATTTTACCCGGGCCAGTGCAGTGTGGGTTCTTGGGCGCCTCGTCTGAGCGGTCATGGCAGTCGAAGTCTCCATCACACTCCCATGAGCTCTGGATGAGGCAGCGTCCGTTGGCACAGCGGAACTCATTAGGTCCACATGTTGGATACTCTGCAGCGACACACAACAGCAGCAGGGTGAAGGGCAGTCGAGCTTGTCGTTAAAAGCAATAGTGAGTAAGAGAGAGCTTTTTGAAACCCTCCCATCAGAGCTAAGAGGCCACAGGTCCACTCACCACACTCCTGGGACTCATCTGAGCCATCACTGCAGTCGTTGTCATGGTCGCACACAAAGTGCTTCGGTATACACTGTCGGTTCTGGCACATGAACTCGTTGTTGCTGCATGTGTTGTTGAACACTGAGAAATAAATAAATAAGTAGGGTTTATGCTCCAACAGCTGCAGAGGGATTTATGTGTATTTTCATTTATTCTGACCAGATCCTGCCTCTGTCTTCACTCACCACAGCCAGCTTTGACGCTCTCATCAGCTCCATCGGGACAGTCTTTGTCACCGTCACACTTCCAGCGCTGAGGGATGCACATATGTGACCCAGGACACTGGAATGCTTCGGGACTGCAGGTTTTGGTCTCTGTGAAAAGATGATTGAAGTTTATCTTAATTGCTTTTATTGCCCTGAGAAATGTGTGAGTAGTCTGAATACGACCCATCAACCACCACTAGTGTGTCTAGACTGCAGGGAGGTTTCCTAACCTTATATCACATCACTTTCATTTCTGTTTCTGCATGGCAAAACATTTTGTTCATTTTTCAATTGAAGTCTCCCCCAATTGAAATATTTTTTCGATGCTTTAAAATGGCAACTGTATACATAATAACATAATCAGTAGGAGGTGGGTCCAGTCAATTCTGTCCCCCACTCTCTGCCACGCCTCTCCCAATGCATGCAGGGTAATGACGCTCAGATGAGAACCATTTAGAATCAACAAACAATTAACTTAGTTAAATTTTTTTTATCTATATACAATAGTAATCTATAGCATAGAGAA